CTGTCTGTAGAGTTCCAAAGTCGTACGCAGCTGCTTCGTCAGTGCAGCCTGCTTTGCAGTCCACTCATATTTTCCTTAAACATGTATGAATCAATAAAAAAAATTTTTTTAGAAGGCCAATTTAAACACGTCAGAGCAGCACCGTGTTTGAGCACTCGCACTCGCAGTGTCAGTTGCATGCCACATCTTTCTGTTAGCCAGAGCCTCCTCGCGTTCATCGCAAAAGATGTACCAGAAGCTGCCGCATAAACACAATAGTCCATTCATACACCAGAGTATGTGAAATACCGAATAACTCTTTCAAGGAGTCATAGCCTGCAAAACCACCCCTTACCCTATCTCCTAAGCAACTAAGAGTAAGGATTCGGCGAGCTACGCGGTGAAAATTGACCTCACCGGAGACATGCGCTGCGCAATAGCATCTTTGCCCTTAGAGAAGTTATCATGCTAAGTTTTCAGCCTGCTTAGCAGGCCTTTTCAATTTTTGAATGTTTAACATCGATTATTGACGCGATGCATGTGACTGCTCAATTCTTGATATGATTTCAAATTTTCTCGCAAAGCATAAATTTATGAAGGAACTCAATGTGACGTAGGAACCGGAAGATTTGCTGCGAAATTGCTCAACATAATAAAAGAAGTTTAACGCTGAAGGCTGCCAATGATTTATTACTGAATATTGCAGAGGACCGTGTTTATTGAAAGAAAGTTCAAGATTGAAGCGAATACTGTACTTTAAATTAAAACTATAATGCCATACACGGCTGTGAAAGCAGTACTGCAAATCAACCTAAAAATACGAACGCCCTGATAATATTCTTTAAACAATACAATGGCATAACATTAAAGGACGGCTGACTACGGCAATGCCTTGGATGGATCCCGCGTGTTCTACATCTTCTAAGCGAATTTGCAGAAGATGAGAAGCGTGGAAAAGAGACGGACAAACGGAAACAAGATCTTCATCCTAAAACCATCTATTATGACATTACCAATGTGCACACGCTGTTTAGTCATTTCTATAGATGGTCGAGAGATTTGATGAGAATCGACCAGACCACTTCCATCAACAGCTGAAGTAAAACATTTACGAGATGCTGCAGCCTTGCATGCGTGGAAGAACAACGACATACCGCAACTTCCCTGCCATGTACAAAGTTGATAAATAAAAATATTATCGCATGCTTCAAGATAACGGATTTTATCAGTGCATTCTTCCATTCAAACATTTATTCACAATTATAACTCTTACGCTTTCCCTTAATACATCAACAACACCGGTTCCTTAGCATGAGAGAAACACTTATTCCACCGACCAGTGGTCGGCTGGCTGGTCGGCACAGGCGAAATAGAGTCATGAGCGGCACTTGCATCAAACATCAAGGATGTATATGCTGCCTGTTGTTGGATGATCACGCCAAAACATAATTCATTTCATGCTATTCACAAGTCAACGACTTCATAACCGTTTCTCGGCTGGTCGCCTTAAAGCAAAGTGGGGTTAATTCAATGCTCAAGTGAAAGAAACGGTGGTTATGAGAAATTTTTCTTTTCAGCGAGTTCGATTCAATCCTCTTTCCTCTGCGCCATGGTTCCAAATTATTCCACAGCTGATGTGTCATTTTGCACAACATGTCATGCAGTAAATTTCTTTCAACACAGGAAATGCCGTGGTGGTAACACAACCGCTGCTACCATACGGCGGCTCTGCCAGAGCGAAGCTTTCGACGCAGTCTATGTCAATGACTAAACGTGTTTCAACGACCGCCTAGTTTCATTTCATCCTCAATTGTTCTTACTACTTTCTTACTGTTATTGTTGTACGCTGAGGAAAGAACACAGTTACGGATTTTGGATACTCGGTAACTTAAAATAAAGGGATTTCACCTGGCTATACAACGTTTCGATCCTGGTTAAAATCGGAATACGTCTGTCAAAGCTGACCGTCCTGACGATCAATTCTTCCCATTCTTTTTCAACTGTACGCACGATCCTGAAATACGAAGAAAATCTTAGTCACTGGTGTCCACTGTTCCGCTGTTAACCAGAGAACGGAGCCGGGCAGTTGAACGAAAAGGAAGGGGCTTTCGGTTTCAGATATGTTCGCGAGCACGCTGACCAGGTTATACTGTGCTGCAAACCGTTCCAGTGCATCCTGAAAATCATTTTTAGAAATTTCTCGTCTATTACGGTATGATACAGTGCTCATCCTGGCTGCACCTGTCCTACCTCTATATGTTTCAACTACAAACTAGAGAAGTGGCGCAACAAAGCAACAAATTCTTCTCATCGAATGTTCACAACTGCGGTTGGTTTCACACATGATCAAAAAACCATGGTGGGGGGGGGACTCGTTGGATAGCATCACTTCCTAAACGGTCAAGAAACAGATGCAGAATAAGAGGTGACTCAAGTATATCAAACGCCTGGCATGAACTGTATGCACAGTCTGTGGTCTTGTTCATTTGACGGAGAAAGGAATAATTGAAAAAAATCATGAAACAGTTGTTCCAAGAATTCGGTAAAATTCTTGGGTGGTTTGGAGTGAGCTAATAGAAGTCGTTTGGCGCTAAAAGCTGTTTTAGGCTTCTATTGCCTGGTTTACAAAGTAAACATCGTAATTGTTAATTTTAAAGCATAGTCAGTCTTGCCTTTTTCAGGTGACATAGTTGACATTTAAATAGGTCAAGATTGAATAATATTTGAGTACCTGCAGTTTATGTGGTAAAACAGCATCACTGCGCTGGTTCGAACATACAACCTGTTCGAAACATTAACTCCTTCAGATTTTGAAATTTCAGTGTCCCATTTACAATACCAGTGGATCCTAGCTGAAGACATAGGACCGCAATTTATCTTCGTTTCACAGAAATCCGCTTCACTCAAGAGTTTCATCTATGCTAATTTAATTGATTAATCGGTCACTAGTTTGAACAGCGATGGGAACGTGGACAGGACATTTCACACAGGATTTACCGCAGTACGTCTTCAACAAACCCTCATCAGTTAATCAATAAACTATTGGCTTCCATGCAAGAATGCGGCCTTCAAAGGCATCAAAGCATATGGAATAAGGAAAAAGATACTCGCGAAGAAGACTGGAACACTTCATTGAACAGCGGGCACCTCTTGCGAAAACAAGTTGTCTTTTAGCAAAGCGAACGTTCTATTTTCTATATCGAATTTGCATGAACCCAATCGATTGATTCTCAAATCTTTGGGAGAGCTTTCGAGTTAATTGTCAGAAGCTCCTAAAGGCAAGTTCAGTTTTGATAGAAATCAGCCATATATTTTTGGGCGTCAAGTAAATGTTTTTCGCCGCTTTAACTATATAAGGAATTTAAAAATAAAAACTGAATTCTGCATGGTAATTAGTTATTTTGACAACGATAACCTATTTCTCTCCAAACTGGCTGCTGCACGAGTATGTGCTTTAAGTAAACGGCTGTCTCTCACATTTTTGCGCTTGCTGGGTGGCGTACATAACGTCAAGACTCGTCTGATCGCTTTCGTTGACTCAAAAACTGCCAGTAGGAAATTTCGATCCGTGAATATTAAACTATATTATTTATGATAATATGTTTTGATTAAATATTCAAGTGGCGGCCGCCACGGATTGAATAAAGCAACTAAGCCGTTTCGTGGTTTGATGTACGATAGTGAAGCAGGTTGTCGAATCGCACAAACCTGAGCAGCCCAGGCCCTTTAATGATAGTGGAAATAGGACCGAATGGTAATTGCACTGGTTTCTATAGCTTATTCCTTATAGTTCTTGAAGGCAAGACGTCGTTAAAAGATGATCAAAGGATGTCACAGATTGAGAATGAGATATTTCTTGGCATAAATTTCATTCCCGCAATTTTATACGGTAATGCTGAACATTGCAAAACTCTTCATCGACTCTTAAAAAGCACGCATCAGGGGTTACGGATGACTGACAGCGATGACTGGAGAATCTACCAAGACGTTGGGGTGACAGTCTGGAGGACCGAATTACTTTTTTGATAATTAAACTCAGTTAAGTTTGAAAAGATATAACTTGCCACTGCAAATCTAGCCAGCGAGTGGCTAACCATAGTGGTTAAAACAATACATGGACATTGGCCTCTGTGCCATACACTTCTGTCGGGCAATACCATGCGGAGTTCGATGATGGCTGCCAGTTTTTTTTAAATTAAATGAAGCAGCAGGTTGCTAGCATCTGTACGTTCAGTAGAAAATTGCTATCCCTCTCGACGTCCGTGTCTACGTCTGTATGCCGGGTTATACTGAAGACCAAGGGCTATAAATTCCTTGAAACCTTTAACAGGATCGGTGTAGCGGCGTTCGAACGAAGGATACTGAAACGATAACCGGAGTAAATGAGCTTGCGTGTCGAAGGATCATTACTCGATAGTACTGCAAGTACTTTACAAACTGTGAAGGAAAATTCGACAATGCCCAAAATGGATGAAATTAAAAAACTTGGTGCACTACGTTAAGTAGAATGTATTGAACTGCCATGATTGGACGTAAAAAATGCGAAGGATTAAAGATAATGGAGCAATGAAGAGTCCCCGGTTTGTTTTAAATCATATAACTGGGCCAGGAAGTTAACATGTTATAAATTCTGAAGGCCAAAATGTCGTACAAAAGGTAAACAGACTGGCTGACGTTTAGCTCTGCCGAAAGCATCCTAATTGCGATGACAGCCAGATCATTACGGGTTTTCTTTTCAAAACAACCATATATTAAACTATATTGTACGGCAGCAAAACGTTGGCGCTGACAAAAGAGGAGGTACATCAGCTAGGTGTTACCGAAAGAGCCATGGAAAGACGGAATTGTTGGAAGTTTCGCTTCGCCACCAAATCTC